TGGGGGTAGCCCAGAGTCAGGCGAAGAGTCAGGGACCACAGAGGCCCTAACATAGTCTCTACTCCGATACCTGAGAAAGAGCCCTGGACACTGTTTCTGGGTTACTTGAGGGTTTCTCAGCTCCTCACTTAGAATGACTCTTAGGTCATCATAGAATTCAGCTCTACCTTTTATGAAATCTTCAGCAACTCTATATTCTGTAGTGAAAGAGGTGGCTTTGTGAAGATGGAGTAGACAAAAATAGGGTAAAACACCCAAATTCAACCTGCTTGGATGCAAAAGGTCTTTGTCATAAACAAGGGATATTTCAGCAGCACCAAGACCAGAGACTAATAGCTGTCGTGTGTGTGTGTGTGTGTGTGTGTGTGTGTGTGTGTGTGTGTGTGTGAATTTAGTAGAAATACGTTCTGCGCACATCTAGACACATAGTGGGATGGCAAGATGAAGGGGGGAGTTGACAAGTGACTTATGAAAAGTTAACTGATTAGATTTTTGTTCCAAGGATCTCCTGTTGGCTGAACCAAAACAAATCCCAGGTACTAGAGAACACACTATTTGTGACTCTAAAAAAAAAAAAAAAATCTTTCTTTTATATGATTTCTCATTAAGTATTTTTTTACACCCTTATTTTTAAGTTTAATTTTTAACTTGTGGAAAAACATCAGTTGAAGAACTGATCACGGAGAAACTAATGCAGGGGGCAATTGGTGGCGTCAGGAAGAGGGTGGCCCCAACAGGATGGGGAGGGGCATGAACCCAGGATGACGTGGGTCAGAGGCTCTTTACTGTGGTTCACAGTGTGCCACGTTCTTGGGGGTCCCAGAAGGGCATGGGGTGGACAGAAGTCAACAGAATGCTCCTGATGAATTATTCAGGCATCGAGATTCCTGAAAAGCTAGAAACACGTCCTCTGGTGTGACGCCTAGTCTAGCTGCTGCCCCCCGCTACAGTTCTCACCTGCAACCTTCTGCGTGTGTCCCAAACGCCAGACCATCCACCATGTCATTCTGTTTCCCATGAGCAGGGGGCTCATTTCAAGTGCTGAACACAAAGTCAGCACTGAAAAGATGTTTAATTGATGGATGTTTCTGTTACCTGATTGTGATTGCCCACAATGTGTAAGAGGTCATGCTCAGAGTTTCAGACCAACCGGAATTCTCAGAGTATGCCTACGAATCCCATAGACAAGGTCCTGCAAAGGAGGTTGACCCAGCAGCCTCTTGCATCCTTGAGATGGCACATGCGTAGACCATGGGAGACAAGCAGCCTTGAATGATGTGCAAAAGCCTAGGGATGTTTAGATTTTTGGAAAAAACAAAACATGTGAAACTAAGAATGGAAACCAATGGTAATGTTATACAATTAGGTTCTTCCCTCCTTGGTGCTTCACTGCTTCTGAGGAAGGCCAGTGCTTTTTATCTGATCACACTCCCCCCACCTGCCCATCTGTTTTTAAGAAGCTTGGACATTCTGTGAGTAAAGGATCAGTCTTTGACCGAAGAAATAATTTCCTAAGGAAACTATACCCCAAACCCAAGTTTTGTTTAGTTTCCAAATCCCCGGTGTCCACCCTTCTTTACTCTGTCATCTGCACACTCCTCAAACAGAATAGTAGGTAGAAAAGAAATGTTTTCAGCAAATTGCTCGGCTTGTTGGAGCCTCAGCGCAATGCATGGCCAAAGGCTTTCATAGCTGAAGCAATGTTCAAGTATTACTTGACCAAGTCTGATTGTATTTTTAGTCCACTCTTTAAAATCGTAACAATGGAATGCAATAACGGATGTTAGAGGAAAAGAGAAAGAGACAGTACCATCCACAACAGGAAGCAAGAGCTGCCATCTGCTAGGTGCCTTCCCTGGTCCCTTCTATCTCAGGCCATATCCAGCGGCTGACCAGTCGCTTCTTTGATGCTTTAGTGACTTACTCTTTTCCAGCTGTTTGGTGATTTAGAATGAATGGAGCTCTGGGGTTTCCATGCATTACTACACTTGAAAATCTTGGTTGCTCCTTCTCAAGTCCTTTAGACTTGCCCTTTGTGCTTGAAGGACAATTCATTCTTCTGAGTGAAAGGCCTTACTTCCCCCTACCCCCTGTGGAAACTATCCCCCTAGAAGGGTTCAAAGTCAGCAGCATCATACCAGCACCATGAGGTTCAATAGGTTAGATTTCCAGCGTTTTCAAACTCCAGCCTGGAAATCAGAATCACCTGGAGAGCTTTTTCAAAATGCAGAGACTGGGGCCCTGACTTTAGAGCTTCTAATTCAATGGCTCTGAGGGAGGTTTGAGTATTTTTATATTGACAAAGCTCTATGTTTGATGCTAAAATATTTTGAGATTTGAGAGTCTGTGCTTTGGAGATACTGGCCTAGAGGCTAAGGAGGAGGGACACTGGAGAGAAAGGAAGAGGGAGAGGGAGGAAGAAGGAAGAAACAGCCATAGAAAGGTCAAAGCAATTAGAGAAACTGAAAGCAGGAGCACTGGGCTAGGCAGGGCTTCTATCATGAATACCCACGTTTCAGTTTTAGGTGTGTGTATGTGCACATGTGTGTATACACACATGCAGGTGCACACACACATAAAAATGCACACACACACAACATGGCCATTTTGGGAAGGTGCTGGGAAAATCAGAGAGAGGCATGTCCCATGAGCCTGGGATTGTTTCTTCACCTCTGACACTTTTTCCATTCCCAGCCTGAGCTCTATCACACGCACCCCAGGGGAGAAGGCACAACACAGCTGCTGAAAATTGGTGGTTGCAGTTGTTGCTGCTTCTGCTTCCCCGCTCTGGCTGTCATTATGACAGTATTTCTTTGGGTCACATCTGGCTGGTGGGGCATCAATGACTTGTGGTGGGGGAGAAGAAGGGAGTGGTGAAGGAAGAACACAAAAATACATCAGCAAAGGCAATCATATCTATTCCTACCCTCCACCCACCCTCCACTGCCACCTGCCTTCAGTTTGATGCCATGGAAGGCATGGGTCTGAAGTTTATGGGATGAGGCCCCACAGCACAGTCCCACACAATCATTTATTCTATGGGCTGTAGGCAGAAACTGCCTATTGGCAGAAGGATAAGGATGTTTCTGTCCTTGGCTGGTCAGAGGGACCCACCCGAGGAAGAAGGACCAGTTAGGGCCACTTGGGAATTTGGTCTGCTTTGCTAAACAAAATAAATTTGCCTAAGTGTAATAAGTTCAACTCCTTCTGTCTTACAAATTATTCAAAACCAAGTTCTTATTGAGCATGAATCTCAAATATGTTTTCCAATGTTCCACTTTAGCCTGAGGCAGAGGGGATCTGACCTTTGTCTTCGTTTTGAAAGCATCACAACGCGGCAGCTTTGCCGCGGCACGGGTGCAGCCATATTGCCATTATCCGCTTTAGAATTTAGTTGGCTTCCTAGACTGAGCTAATTGAACTGGACTGGATCTTATTTACGACTGAATCCTCAGAGCCTAGGAGCACCCCTGGCATGCAAGGACACTCAGGAAATGTTTGCTGGGTACCAGGTCCTCGGGCAAGTTTCAAGCCATCACTTACAGAGAGAGGGACACATGTCATAGCAACACTGGGTGTTGGCATGTTGACTATCACATAAAAACTGAGAAAGAGGGATTTCGAATCAACAGGACATGGTGTTTTTAACGAAGTCACATGACAGAGTACTGTGCGCCACATCTCTGCACGGTTACAAAACTCTTCCTTCCGATTCAGGAAGAAGTCGATGCCTCTCTTGGCATGATTTCCTTTTGATCTGGCAGCTCTGCTCAACGGGAAGCATTTGCTCCCCTCTCACTCTTCCCTGCTTTGGTTTGTAGACGTGTTCCCTGAGTAGGCTCTTAGATTGTTTTCACGATGGCCAAATACATTTGCCTATTTGCAAAACTCTGAAGGAGATGGTATTTGTAAGACTGGCAGTATGCTTTTTATTCACCCGAATTCTGGAGGACAGCGCTGGACTCTGGCAAGTCATTTCTCACGCTGAAGTTGGAGACACGATGAAGAATATATTTTCTGGAGTTTTTCCTAATAACGGACTTTGCCAGAATCGAGACAGCTCAAAGACGGAGTGTGGGTTTGCCTGTGGGGTAGGCTGTACAAAAATCTGGCACTTCAGAGGCTGGAAGCGCAGCAAAGTAGTGTTGGCTACTGGATAATAAAAGGGGCAACTTTAAGGTAAATGAAGATTTACTATTGATTGGGTGGCTCTCGAGAATGCTATTTCTCTAACTAATGCATGTGGGGTTTAATAGACGATGGGTGGATGGGTACAACAAACCACCATGTTGCATGTATACCTACGTAGCAAACCTGCACGTTCTGCACATGTATCCCAGAACTGAAAGTAAAATAAACATTTTTTAAAAAGCGTATTTCTAAATAGGCATCACATGACCAGCAGCATGTTTTGGGAATGGTAAAAATGCTGCCAATGCATTTGTCTGATGGACTATTCTAATATGTTAAGGTAAGATTAAAATAAAGAGTAAAAATTGAATAGCATGTCACAATGCTTCACAGTTCAATAAAAATGGTTCCTTTATATAATTTCTTTTTAGAAGATCAGGACTGACTTTTTCTCTTCAGCCCAAAGAATTCATAATTCTGCCTTCTAGCTCCCTTTTGAGGAAAGAGGCAAGAAAAGGATGAGGGCAGAAGGAACTCCGCATGGGAGGAGGAGTTGAACGGAACCCTTGTGCCAGTTTGGCCAGCTCATCCATGCCTGCACACCAGGGGTTTGCACTGTGGTGGGACACACTGAAAAAACGACCTTTCCCTAAGGCCAGCGGGTTGGGGAGGGGACTCGTGAGGGTGAAAAGCTCATGCCTTGTTTCTCAGGCAAGACCTGGAAGAAATCAAAGATGCTCTTCATCAACCATTGTATCGAGATGTGTATGTGACCCCAAGAGCATGGGGAGGAGGAGAAAGGGAGGTGTCAGGGAAGGGCTCACGGCCTCTGTGCCCCCACCCTCTGACTGCCCACTCATGCTACATACCCAGTACAGCACGTCCGTCCAGCCCTCCATGGTGATGCACTGGAACACCGTGAGCATGGCGAAGGCAAAGTTGTCAAAGTTGGTGATGCCGTGCTTGGGACCATCCCAGCCGGGCTTGCACACCGTGCCGTTCTGGCACTGCCGCCCATGGCCTGTTTCCAGCGCACAAGGGGAAGGGTCATCTTCTGCTGGAACATCTCAAATGGCCAGAAGAAGACAGGAGACGGGAGCAGCAGCGGGGCAGAGATATGGGCAGAGAAAAAAGTCAGAGAGAAAAGTGACAGGATGAGGTTGATGGGATGGGCAAAGCAACCATGGCAACAACAGTGCAAGACACGCTTAAATCATGTCCCCCAGATGTGAATCAAGCAACATAAGAAAGTAGGCATTCCGTTTAGGCTGCCGTTAATTTAGAAGGTCAGTCCTTTTCACTCACTGTTGTAAAAGCTGTATTTTAATCTCAGTAACTGATTTCTATTGCCCATTCTGTTGTAACATGTCAGCATCATAATCAAATGGCCAATCAAAAAATAATGATGATGCCACCACTGCAAGTGGAAACTGACCCAGAAAGCGATTAGGAAGTCTGTATTTTCTTTTTTTGGTGGTAGAGTTCTACAGACACTTGTATTGGAATACCAGAATTTAGGGTAAGGACAACACTGATGCAAACACTCCTTCACATAACCGATCCCATCCAATAATGCTTTCTAACTACCTGGGTCCATCACGTATTAGAGGATAAAACATTGCCAGGGATGCAAGTCACTTTACAGTGAAGCCTTATTTAGGTGAAAGACGGAAAACGGACTCTGACTGCTGCGCAGAGGGATCGCCTGCGGCCGTTTTCATTGCAGCCTGCGAGTACACACTACTGACTGTATTTCATGCATGTCATGTGGGACTTGGCAGCTCTGCCCTTTGCTCTGCAGCATGAATACCTTTCAGAAGAGAAGAATCATTTTCTGACCTCTAACCAAGACAGAGCGGCAGTGAGTAACAGGGAGCGTGCTTCCTCAGTACGGACGCGGCTTGGTCAGGAAATAGTAGAGTACAGTGTCTGTGGCTAAAGGCAGCAGTTGGACTAATGCCACGTGCGGGAAATAGCTCCCGGCAAATTAATGAATGAAGATGTGACTGATATTTTGAGTGTGGAGATTGCTGGTAAATTTAAACAAGACCTGACTGATCTAAGAATTTCGATTACGGGAAAACACTGAGAAAGTCTTGGTGCTGGCTATGGAAGGTAATGGTGTGGAATTCACAAAAGTTCGTGAAATCAAGGACATTGTCCTGTCCTTAGACAAAGTAATGACAATAACAGACAGAAGAGACCCCAGTTCCAACAAATAAACGATTGCCTATAACAATGAAAATACGCTGAGAGAGAGAGAGAGAGAGAGAGAGAGCGAGCGAGAGAAATTGCTTATAGTTCTTCATTTAGAGACAACAGATCACCCAGGATTGTTCTCTGGTTTCATGTATCAAAACAATCATAAGTGTGATTACTTTGCCTACATTAGGCTCCGCATTGAAGATGACTGGCCGGTGGGCTGATTCTCAGTTGGTGGCTTTAAATTTGAAACTGTTCACTCCCAAGAGGAAGACCAGACGAGAAATATTAATCCTTAAGTAAGAGATAATTTTTAGGAGAATATAGTCTACTTGAAAACATATGCCTGATTGTGTCTTCCCAGCAGCAGTGGCAGCTCCTCTTCCTCCTCCTCCTCCTCCTCTTCATTGTCATCAGCACCTGCGTGGTCATCTTTGTGGCCTCCTCCTCCTCCTTGTTCTCTGCCAATTTCATTTCCTCCTCCTGCTCATTTTCCTCCTTCTCCTTCTCTTCCTCCTCCTTCTTCTCCTCTCCTCTCTTTCTCTCCCACTGACCCCATCAGCTTTATTGACTTACAAGTTACATGCCTCAGAATTTATCAGTGTAACCGTACAGCTTAATTATTTTTAGTAAATTTTTACATAGTCATGCAGCCATAACCACAATCCGTTTTAAAGCACGGCCATTACTCCCCGAAACCCCCCTCGCCGGTTTGCAGTCAATCCTTGCTCCCATCCCCAGTCCCTGGCAACCTGATCTGCTTTCTGCCTCCATTGCTTTGCCTCCTCTAGAAATTTCATATAAATGGAATCACACACTATGAGGCTTTTTATGTCCATCTTCTTTCACTTAGCATAACGTTTTGAGCTGCATCCGTGCTGTTGCATATATCAGTAGGCTCTGTTCCTCTTTATTGCTGAGCAGTGTATTTCATTGTATGTTTATCCGTTCACCAGCTGATGGACGTCTGGATTGTGTCCAGGTTTGGGCTATTATGAATAATGCTGCTTCCTGGCTTATTCTTGGGCCAGTGCTTAAAGTTGTGCGTGAGTCCTGTGTTTGTTGATCAAGGTGCAAAGGTCTGCACTGCTGGTCCCTGAACTGTTAGAGAGACAGTATCCACACCATTTCCTTCTTTCAGGGTCTAGCTCCCAGGAGGGCTCCATTAACGCAGCTGAAATAAGCAGTCCTCTGACTACAACTTTTTATGACTTTTTAAAATGTGAAATCTTTAGAGATTTGGATGTGACACTACAAAAAAGAGGGAGACTAAAATGTAAACCCTAAGCCTAAATAATACATGAAAAAGTGGATAATGAGCACCTAAAAATTTGAGAGTTGAGAGACCGGAAAACCAAGAGCCAAGTAGATCATTAATTCTGTTGGGTTCTCACCCATTCTAGTCATAGCTTCCTAGAGAGACGTGTTCAGTCGCTGTGATAAAAGTGCTGGAATGATAGGAGAGACGGGACAAAGAGAGACGGTGAAAAAGTGAAGGGGAAGCTCTTGCATCTTTTTCTCATGTTTTGCTTTTTCGCAGAATAAAGATGCAGTTTATCTTTACATTGGGACCGCTCACCCGACAGCATTCCCTGCACTCTCAATTCCCGAGACGTCACAAAGAGGGCAAAGGAGAAGGCTGCCAAAGGGAGTTCTGAGTGTCCTCGAGGAAGAAAAACGTCTCTGGGGATTTTACGAATATCTGTGAAAAAGAAAATGGCATCAAGGGGAAGTGGTCTCACTGATAAAAGAGAAAGGGATGAGATTCAGAAACATTATCTAAAGGCTCTAGTGCCATTTCGCTATTTAAAATCTGATTTGAACAATAATGAAAAAGATTTGAGAACAATTAAGAAGCAGTGATGATCTGGTAAAAATAGGTATCTATAAAAAGCACTAAAGCGAACACTTGAAAAAATGTGAACACACACAAATCAGCAGGTCCTAGCAACACACACTCTAGGGTGAGGAGAAATTTGCTTAAAACATAAAAATGTGTTGGTTTTCTTTTGCAGAGTCATGAAGTCCTGGGGAGGAAAGTGGGAACATGAGGTGGGAGAAGGAAACAAAGCAATGCAAGTTCTGTATTTTAAGACAGACATGAAGAGAGGTAGAGTCATTCTGGAAAGTCCAAATTAAGTTTTCGGTAAAATAATGGAGGTGAAGATTAGGAGAGATTTTAGAAACGCAGTTAATATCAACAAAAACACGAAATCCTGGGAGAGCTCCAGTTAGTGATTCCAAGGAGAAATCACTGAAGACAGAAATCAATTACTTTTTTAAAACTCAACTTTAAGGACTGAATAGAATGAAGATGATTTCATTTCTAGGTTTTAGCCAACCAATTCTGTGCCAGTCTCAGGGGTAATTACTGTGCTTGGGAAGCTATTCAGAGTGACCTGGCTCAGCACACCATCAAACAGATGGGAAAACCAGAAACAAAAGGTATCGGCATATGGTGATGTGTCTGTTGAGGAGCTGAGAAGGCGCCGTGCAGATGTCCCCGGGATTAGGGAAACGCTGCGTCTTCTGAGACCATCTTCACCAGGGGCTGTTGCCTGGAAGGGCAGTCTAGAGGCAGAATATGGTTCACCTGAACAATTCCATAACTTTCTTTGTGGATTTTGTTGGAAACATGGATCAAAATCCAAAATCCAATGTATTTTGAAATCTAGAGATATATAAAATTCACAGTCTGTGAAATAATATTGGACTATAAAATAATTTGATGTAAATCTCATCAAAAATTACGAGGGCTCACAAAGCACTTTTGTGTAATCTAAATTTGCAGAAAATAGGGTAATTCAACCCAAAGTCTGAAATTAAGAAAAAAAAAAAAAAAAAGAAAGAAAAAATTTGAACCACCCATTCCAAAGTTTATGTAAAACTCTCCAAAACACTTAGGGGTTGGTTTCAAAGCCTGCAAGTATTTGGTCTTCTCCACGGCTGCACAGATATGTCTGGGTTCTTGCACATTTTCCTTCCTTGTCTGCACTGCCGACTATGTGGGTGGACAAGGGCTTGATGGCAGCAGCATCATGTTGTGCTAAGAGTGACAGAGTGGGTCCTGGCTTGTGATCAGATGGCAGGTTTGGGAACGAAGGGACAGCAAGCTCTTGATTGCAGAGTATTTGAGAGGACAGGCTTCTGCAGCTGTGTCCTGGGCCCCTCTTCCCAGCAGGGACTCTGGTTCAGGTGAATGAGGGAGGCCACCTTCTCATGGAGCCTGGTAGGGCTTTTCTCTCTGGAGCACTTCTGTTGTTGTCCTGGCCCCCTTGGCTCATGGCCATTTCCGTGATGGGAGCCTACTTCTCTTCTGAACTTGCAGGCAAAGATAAACCCATCACATCAACCATCTGATGAGTCTCTTGGTAGGAGGCAACCTCTCAGGCACTTTTCCTGGTCCTGTTTACTATCAAGGATGGACAATGTGATCCTAAATTGGTCATTCCAATTGGGGAGGCCAAGTCTTATCTTTGTCCTAAGAGAAGAGGAGTCCATGACAGGTTCAGTACTTGGCGTGACCTCTTCACTGGGCCCTGGGGCTCTGACCTTGAGGACGGCTCCCTCCCTGTGCCATGCTTTCTTTGTCTGCCATGCCCACCATTTTCTGACTCTCCAGGGTCACTGAGGCCTGGTAACAAAGCCCTGGACTTCCAACCAGAATTCAGGGCCACTTATTCCCACAGGCCCTTGCAAGAGCCCACGACCGGCAGAAAACACACTTGGGCTGCTTTCTCGTTAGGATGATGGAAACCGCCTGCAGTGTTGGAGCCCCTCTCCTTAGCTCTGTGGTGCACAGACATCTGATTGCACAGCAGGGCCGCCATCTTCAGCTCGACGGCTGAATTCCACCATTTCACTCTCCCCCATTTTGCTGGTGAGAGCCTCACCATCATCACTGCTGAACTGACGGGGAATCTTTGAGACTCCACATGTCTATGACTTCCTGAGGAGTTCGAGTCAAATGGTCATTGATAATTTCAATACAACTGCATCAACTTTAGACATACCACAGTCAGTTCTTAAGGAGTCTTAAAACGAGCTCTCACAGGGCCACATAAGTCAATAAATTTATTGGTCCTGAGCTAGCTACAAATCAACCTGAATAAAAGGAAGGATTTTAATTAAAGGGGAAAATATTATTCACCTATGGTTTGGCATTTCTTTAAGCAAGGCTGAAAATCTCAGAATTTTAGCTACAGGCAAGATCTCCTTTTTCCAATTTAACAAGGATTCTATTTTTGAAAACAGGATAGTTTATTTTATATGATTATGACCCAAGTAATTTGGAAATTCTCTCTAGAGTGAAAAAACAGTCTCCTGTTAAACAGACTTCTATCCAAAAAGTGAAAACATTGGTGTGATTCTGTGTCTATAGGAGTATACGTTCTGCGTGTGTGGTTTTTTGTTTTGTTTTTAGGACGGCGGCTATGTGGAAATAAACTAGAAATCCCCTCAAATATGCAGTTAATCCATCCAGTCATATTAGATTATACATAGAAAGTATTCTATTTTGATTTCTCTATGAATTTCACCCCCTGTTGTTTGGAAGGACTATCCCTCCTCACCCCAGCGAAGCGAGAGGTCCCATTTAACTGAATGCTGGGACTGAGTGGGAATGAGGGGCAGTGTCGATGGAGAAAATTAGGTATCCTTCACTGTTCCCGGCAGATGATGCTCCCCTTTCTCCACCAAGATGCCAAAAACTAAGATGATGGATCTTGCTGTGTGAAAAAAAAATCACATACATTTAACACGGCTAGCCCCTTTGGGGCGGGGGATATTTTTTCAACAAGTTCTTTGTGTTAAGCTGCTTTATCTGTCTGTTTAAAAGCCTTGTCAATTTCTGTTTAAATGTTTCTTTAAAAGGCCAAGCTGCGATGTCAGTAGCTTTAGCAGCAGCTTGCAGCATATCCTGCAAGCCAAAATTCCAGTGCCACGCAGGGAAGTGCCTAATGAACCAGCACTGCTATTAAATATATTGATTTATGGAAGGAACGTGAAGCGAGAAGGCTCAAAAAGGAAGGGACTGGGAGTCATGGGGTAGAACTAAGCCTTCTCCTTGAAGGGAGGAAGTTTGGCTCCTGGCAAGGGGGTGATTCCCACCTGTCCTCCTCCCCCACCTGGAATAGGGGCTCAGGGGCATCTGCCTGTGAATGGAGAAACAGAAACAATAATTACAGAGGATCTGGAATCAGCACCATGAAGGTAGAAAGATCTTAGAGTGGTGCTGGGAGAGCCTATTGCTCAGGGCTGAGCAGCCCCCCTGAAAGGGCACCCGACGGCCAGCCACACTGAAACGTGGAAGGAGCAGAGACTGACGTTCCCAGGTCAGCTCTGATTCTTAAAACACTCAGGGTGGGCTTGAAAAGTGGCAGATTGATGAAAGATAGGATCTAAGTTATTCAAATATTTCTCAAATTGTGTAGCTTATTGAAAAGTGCTGAACGAAGTTTGCGTTAGGCCGGTTTAACAGATTAAAACAAAAATTGGAACTGAGAAAAAAAGGATATGGGTCTCTCTGCCTCTCACTTAAACACGCCCAGTGGGCGTCTGAGTGAACGGGACCTTCCCCGGGCTCTGCTGGTCATGCTGGTGTAGCCAGCAGCGGGAAAGGAAAGGTGCCGGGAGTGACAGAGGCCAGGGCCTTGGGAGCACGGCTGCCTGCCCCTCTTACCTGCTATGCCCTCCTGGTTGTAGCAGGTCTTGTGCATCTTCCCCATGAAGAGCTCCAGGCCGATGATGGCATAGATGATGATGACAAACAGCACGAGCAGGGCGATGTGCAGCAGGGGGACCATGGCCTTGATGATGGAATTCAGGACCACCTGGAGACCTGCGGGGACAGAGCCACTCACTGAACCAAGCGTCACCGCGGGTACCGTGCTGACGCCATCTCATGCCGTCTTCCGGCAACTCTGCGAGGAAGGAACTGCGAGCCCTGGTGTTCAGATGAGAAGACTGAGGCTCAGAGCCACACACCAAGGATTGATGGTGCAGGGGTCTAAATCCAGGTTGGCCTCACTCCAAATCTGTCTTGGAGACTCATCCAAAGCAAAGGACTGGCAGCTGCTGTACTTCTGAGGGGAAGAACATGTTGTTTCCATCCATAACTATCAGATTGTGTAATATCCCATCTTACAGGCAACCGAGCACCTTTTTCTCCCAGGGCAGCGTCTCAGGACAGTGAGAGCTCATGTGGACTCAAGACGGCCCTGCAGGGACTCACTTGTCCTCAGGTTTTCCCCACAGTGGGACTCAGAAAAGTTCCAGAGCTGGGTGGTGCTGACGGTTGTACAACGTGTGAAGATACTGCCACTGAGCTGGACACTTGAAAATCATTAAAATGATCAATTTTGTTATGTTCTTATTACCACAAGAAAAGAAACTCTAGAAAGCACCCAGATCCTTCTGGTAAAAAGAGTCAAGGAAAAGCCCGCCTGGGGACGTGGGTGTTGTCGGTGAGGTCTGGGGCTTGCACCGTGGTCTGTGGGGAAAAGGCCCCCCTTACTAAGCTCGGCTACATCAGAAATAACACACTGGGGATGCTACTTACTTAAAGCGACACTGCAAATCATTCGCAAATGGCAGGAAGGTGGTTACCAGCAAGTCACCCCCAGATGACACCCAGCCCTGAGAAAGTCACGTGTGAGATTCCTGCCCAGGCGAGTGCAGTGAGTCTTCACCTTCCAGGTGAGAATGTGGAGGCAGCTCCTGCTTCCCTCCAGCAGAGCCAGTGGTGCAGAAAGTCGCCCTGAGTGCCACCTCTGATACACACAGGACAGGACACCCCGTCCAGGTCACACTACACAGGTCACTTTTTGTGTCTTTACCTTCTGTGTGTGGGGCATTTCACCCTCACGTTTATCCACCGTGCTTGCCCCTGGGTAAACTAAGGCCGGTCACCCCCTTCCCAAACCCTGAGGCTGTTGTTGGTGCTTTTCATTCCGGTGGTGTGATTCTCACAAGGCTGATTAAAACGATTCTTCCCAGCTATTAAGCCAAGCTGGGAAGATTAAAAAAAAAAAAAAAAAAAAAGGAAAAGAAAAGAAAAGCTGGAATGATTTTACCTGCGAATTAATGAGAGTGCTTGCAGCCTCCCATTAGAACAAGATGTTTTCAGATTGAAATGATTCCATTAATTAGCAAGTTGTACACACATTAGTGTTAGAGTATGCAGAGCCGCGAAGAAAGTTGAAAATTGAACCGCAAAGCAGCTTTCAGGGCATCTGCTGGGGGTGGGGGTGGGGGTGGGGGACGTGTACCAAGTGCTACTCGAGGTGGGAGGAACCCCAAATCTGGGCTACCCAGGCATAAGGGGGTGTCTCGGTGGGCCTCAGTGCTACAGCCTCCAATGGCAAGAGAACGGTGGGTGTGGGACATAAAAGGACACCCACTGGGAGGCTCCCCTCCAGGCCGCAGCTAGAGGGCTGCTCAGCAGGCTGCCTCAGGCCTGCTGGAACTTTGAATGCCTTCCTCTGCTCTTAGGATGAAGACAAGATCCTTCCTGGGCCCCTTCAGGACCCGACCCTGGGTGGGTCGGGTCTCCTCCACCCACCTCTCCACTGACTGCCTCTCCCCAGCCCACTCCAGTAAAACAGCTCTTCTTTCAGAAAGTGGAATATGCTACTGTTCCTCCCACCACAGGGCCACCACACATGCTGTTCCCTCAACCTGGAATGCTTTTCCCCACTTCCCTCCTACTTATCCTTCACTCTCAGCCCAAGCATCTGTTTCCCCAGGGTCCATCATTTCCCCAGGGATCATCACCCAACTCCCAGACCAGAGACGTGTCCTTTAAGTCTTCTTGGAACGATTTCCCTTCCTCTGGAGAGTGCACCTCAGTTTGAAATGTTATGTTCCTTCACGGGATTTTAAAACATTTATATCTGTCTCTCACACTAGGCTGAGTTTTGTGAGGAGGGACTGTGCCTGTTCGTCTCCCTGTTTTGTCACTAAGGCCTGGCTTGGTGCTGAGCATATGTGGGAACTCAGTAAATATTTACTGAAGGACTGACAAAACTTATCATCTAAATAAACGCTATTGCTGTCCTGCAGCGCTGCTGAGTATTGCTGCACAGACATCTGCTTTCCAGATAGGTGTCTAAGGGACAGGTGAGTGTCAGGGCCTGCAGGGGACACAGGCCACTGAACAGGCTGGAGAGAGGCCAAGCGGAGTGAAAGCAGCTTGTGGGCATCGTTTCAGCTGTCAGCGATGCCATAAGAATTCCTGCCAAACGTCCTGTTCCTCACACCCCCGTCCAGGCTGGGGGTGCCACTCACCTGAGCAGCCAGGCCAGAAAATTGATCTCCTAGGCTCCTCCTTCCACCCAGTAACCAAGTCCTGCCGGGTTGGTTTCAAAGTATCTTTAGACATGAATACATTTTTCTTACTGTATAAATCATATATGCTAATTATAGAGAAAACAGAAAATACTTATTATAGAGAAATTACAGAACACAGGGAAGCAAGAAGAAAAAAGCAATCACTCATTGTCCTGGCCCCAGGAGAAGAGCCACTGTCAGTCCTTCCCGTCCACGACTCGTTTTCCTCCTCTGTCCCCTTCGTGCTCGTCATTTGGTCAACTGGTCTCCCGGCTTTCAATGTTGCCCGGTCTTCGAGCGACACTTAAAATGCTCTTCCTGAAGTACACACTGGAACATGTCCCTTTGTAGCTGAAAGTCACCCAGTGACTCCCTGTCACCTCCAGGTAAACTCACCTGCCTTCTTCCCCAGTTTGATCTCAAATGACTCCCAGTTTATACGTCAGGCTTGAGCAATACACCCTGCAGTTCTCAGGCTTCGTGCCTCCAATCCCAGCGCGTGTGGTTCCCCCTGCCTGGAATGCCATTCCCTGCCTCGCTGAGAGCTGCTTGAGTCTCAGCATGTCTTCTCATCTTTGTGTCTCAGGCACGTGGGAGGGACTCCGTGAACATGGAGCCAAGTCACATTCGTAAGCACAGGGTGCCTTCAGAAGGCAGAAACCACGAGAATGAAGGAATTGGAAACAAAATCATTCAATAATCATTAGAAGAAATTGAAGGTGTTTTGTCAGGAACGGTGAAAAGGCACAGGCAGGAGGGTAATGTCAGTGATTTTCAGAGGATCTCAACTGCTATTTGAGGAAGAGGGATTAGATGAGTTCTGTCTGACCAGAGATGGAACTGCGACCAGCTGGAAAGTGTCCGGGAAAGACTTAGGTTCAACACAGATAAACACTTATCTGTCCAAGAAACAGGCTGATCTGAAGGTGGAGTAGGGTGCTCTAAGAGATAGTGGATTCCCCATCCACAGAGGTATCCAAGCAGTGACTTGAGGAAGTGCCTGGCTGGGGATTCTGCCAGTGGGTGAAGGACTGCCCTGGAACACCAAAGGCCCTCCGACTTGATGAGCGTGTCCTGAAGACCTGCCATGGGCAAGAGCAGCCCTCAGCACTCTACTGGATCATTCCAGCTCCTCCCGGCAACAGCCCTCGGAAGTAGGCACTGTTCGTAACCTATGCTTCAGATGAGAAGAGTGGGTCCAGAGCACTGGAGTGATCTGCCCAGGGTCACACAGCTGGGAAGTGGTGGCACAGGGCTCAGTGCCAGGTGGTCTGGCTCCTAGCCTGTGGCTTCACTACTGTGCACATGCCCCCCACACACTTAAACAGTGGCTCTCAGCCTCCATGACCTGAGTCTATAAAGCAGTGACACGTGCTTGCAACATCTGCTGGGAAGGCAGGAGAGTCTAGTGGAGTCCCTGCTTCCAGGAGAGCCCAGATGTTTCCAAGGCTGGTCCAGGAAAGGCTCTCGCTTCCATCTGCTTTCCTCGCGGCTCGCCTGGGGTGGCAGAGCCAGGCTGGCTTGTGAAGGCGTGCAGCCAGACTTCCTCCTCTCCACCCTGCCATGTAGAGTTTGGCTCTCGGGGCCTGGATGTTTAACAGCTTCTTGGGATTGGCTCACAGCTGCCCCAGAAACAGCTCCTCCAACTCAAGTTCTAATTTGGAAAACACACGACATTTCTCCACCCAAGTGTTCTCAGATAGGCCATGCTCACAGCTGATAAGCGAGTGTCGGGCCTTCTTCAGGGCTGGCTGCTCATGTTGGTGAAAGAAAACGGGCCCTAGATAAGCCTGGTGAAGCAACTGCTGTCAAATGTTCTGTGAACACAAGATCACTATTGGCCCACGCATGTGAGGAGCCTGTTTTTCTAGCCCTAAATCAGGGTAAGATCTGACAAACACATGTGTACTTAAGGGACCAACAGGACTGAATATGTGACAGGAGAGCTCTACTGGAAAATTTGGAACATATGATTCCATGCAAAGATCAAACAGCACGTAACCTAGAAATTCAGTCTCGCTAGTTTGCAGCTCATGTCAAGTGACTGCCTCTTGGTGGGTGGGAAGACTCTCAAGGTACCAGGAAGACCTTCCAGGGAGACGGGGCCTTGGGCAGTGGCATCATTCAGTACTAGGCTTGGGAAAAGGGGAGGACGGAGTTTAGCCAGCAGACATGGCTTTTCCTTTCTTCCTCTTACAGTGCTGCCTGCATTCCCTCTGGGGTGCAACTTGACAATTCCAGTTAGGAAAGGCTTAGAGGACCTGCATATATAAATCATCCTGTTTCTCCTTAAAAGGTCAAGAGAAGCCACCTATTGCAGAAAGCAGTATCTGGCACCTTTCTCTATGGTGGTTTTGAGGTTAGTCTGGAAATGCCCAGATTGGTCAAAGTTGGTGCTTCCGTTACCTGGTCCAGACTGTCCACCATGACTGACGAGGGCTGACAACAGATCCCACCCTCTTTTGCTTTACAAAACAGCATCTCACCAAGCCCTACTTTTGGGATGAGTTG